CAGAGCATAGGGTAGCAGGGACAGGAAGCAAAAAATTTTTGAGTGGGTCACTAGGGGTAATAGTGAGTGGTACCACTCTTGTTTCCACCCCTTGGTTCCTGGACCCACGAATCCTGGCTATTGGAGAAACAGAACCATATATTAGACGCTGGTTTAGAGCACATATGTACAGCCTCCTGGAGAACATTACCCCAACCCATCAAGATATTGCCACCTCACTGGCACCATATTTGTGTTTTTAAGAGGCCATTCCATCCATCAAGCCAGCTGCTTCAGGATGATGGGGAATATGGTAAGACCAGTGAATTCCATGAGTATAAGCCTATTGCTGCACTTCATTTGCTGTGAAATGAGTTCCTTGATCCAAAGCAATGCTGTGTGGGATACCATGATGGTGGATAAGGCATCCTGTAAGTCCATTGATGGTGGTTTTAGCAGAAGCATTGTGTGCAGGGAGGGTGAATCCATATCCAGAATAAGTATCTATTCCAGTAAGAACAAACACTGTCCTTTCCATGGTGGAAGTGGTCCAATGTAATCAGCCTGCCACCGGGTTGCTAGCTGATCACCCTGAGGAATGGTTCCATATCACGGACTCAGTGTTGGTCTCTGCTGTTGGCAGATTGGGCACTCAGCAGTGGCAGTAGCCAAATCAGCCTTGGTAAACAGGAGTCCATGTTGCTGAGCCCATGCATAAGCTCCATCCCTGCCACCCTGACCACTTTGTTCATGAGCCCATTGAGCAATGACAGAAGTAGCTGGGGAAAAAGGATGGCTGGCTTCCACTGAACATGTCATCCTATCCACCTGATTGTTAAAAGTCCTCCTCTGCTGAGGTCACCTTTTGGTGGGCATTCACATGAGACACAAATACCTTTACTCCTTTGGCCCATTCAGAGAGATCTATCCACATACCTCTTCCCCATACATCCTTATCACCAGTCTTCCAATCATGCTCTTTCCAAGTCCCAGACCATCCAGCTAAGCCGTTAGCTACAGCCCATGAATCCATATATAATCTCATATCTGGCCATTTCTTATTCCATGCAAAGTGAACAGCCATATTCACGGCTTGAAGTTCTGCCCATTGGGAGGATTTCCCTTCACCATTGTTCTTTAAGGAAGTTCCAGAAAGGGGCTGCAGTGCTGCTGCTGTCCACTTTCAAGTGGTGCCTGCATATCGCGCAGAACCCCACTTTCAAGTGGTCCCTGCATATCGCGCAGAACCATCTATAAACCAGGCACGAGTTTTCTCTTCCTCAGTCAACTGATCATAAGGAACTCCCCATCAGGCCATAGGTGCAGAGTGGGACAGGGAAGGTTATGTGACTGGAGTGGAGACCATAGGCGTTTGGGCCACTTCCTCATGCAACTTACTTGTACCTTTAGGTCCTGCTTAAGCCCAATCTCTGATATACCACTTCCATTTAATGATGGAGTGCTGCTGTGCACGTCCAGCTTTATGACTCGGTGGGTCAGACAACACTCAGTTCATGATGGGCAGCTCAGGTCTCATGGTCACTTGGTGGCCCATGGTTAGGCGTTCAGTCTCTACTAAAGCCCAGTAACAAGCCAAAAGCTGTTTCTCAAAAGGAGAGTAGTTATTTGCAGAGGATGGCATGGCTTTGCTCCAAAACCCCAAGGGTCTACATTGCGATTCACTAATAGGGACCTGCTAAAGGCTCCAAACAGCATCTCTGTCTACTGCAGACACTTCAAGCACCATTGGATCAGCCAGATCAAAAGGCCCAAGTGGCAGAGCAGCCTGCATGGCAGCCTGAACCTGTTGCAGAGCCTTCTGTTGTTCTGGGCCCCACTCAAAACTAACAGCTTTGTGAGTCACTTGATAAATAGGCCACAGCAACACACCCACATGAGGGATATGTTGCCTCCAAAATCCAAAGAGACCCACCAGACATTGTGCCTCTTTTTTAGTTGTGGGGAAGCCAGATACAATAACTTACCTTTCACTTTAGTAGGAATATCTCGACATACCCCACACCATTGGACCCCTAGAAATTTCACTGAGGTGGAAGGTGCCTGAATTTTTGTTGGGTTAATTTCCCAACTTCTGTCATGCATTATGTCTCACCAATAAGTCTAGAGTCATCGATACTTCTTCTTTACTAGGTCCAGTCATCATAATGTCATCAATATAATGGACCAGTGTGATACCTTGTGGAAGGGAAAGGCGATCAAGATCCCTATGGACTAAATTATGACGTAGTGCCGGGGAGTTGATATACCCCTGAGGAAGGACTGTAAAAGTATACTGTTGGCCTTGCCAGCTGAAGGCAAACTGCTTCTGATGGTCTTTTGAAATTGGTATCGAGAAAAAGATATTGGCCAGATCAATAGCTGCATACCAAGTACCAGGAGATGTACTAAATTGCTCAGGCAATGAAACCACATCAGGAATAGCAGCTGCAATTGGAGTCACCACCTGATTAAGTTTACGATAATCTACTATCATTCTCCAAGATCCATCTGTTTTGGGCATAGGCCAAATAGGTGAATTAAATGGAAATGTTGTCAAATCACCACCCCTGCATCCTTCAAGTCCTTGATGGTGGCAGTAATCTCTGCAACCCCTCCAGGGATGCGGTACTGCTTTTGGTTTACTATTTTTTGTAGGTAGAGGCAGTTCCAATGGCTTCCACTTGGCTTTTCCTACCATAATAGCCCTTACTTCACATGTCAGGGAGCCAATGTGGGAATTCTGCCAATTATTGAGTATATCTATTCCAATTATGCATTCTGGTACTGGGGAAATCACTACAGGATGGGTTTGGGGACCCACTGGTCCCACTGTGAGACACACCTTAGCTAAGACTCCATCAGTAACTTGACCTCCATATGCCCCCACTCTGGCTGGTGGGCCACAATGACGCTTTGGGTCTCCTGGAATTAGTGTCAATTCAGCGCCAGTGTCCAGTAATCCCTGAAAAGTCTGATTATTTCCTTTTCCCCAGTGAACAGTCACTCTCATAAAAGGCCTCAGATCCCTTTGGAGAAGGCTAGGAGAAAGACTGACATTATAGATTTTTGGCAGTGTAGTGATGTCCTTCCTCAAAGGGACCGGGCCTCCTCTTCATTCAAAGGGTCGTGGGTCTGTAAACTGACTCAAGTCTGGGAATTGATTGAGAGGTCGTGACTCTGTATTCTGGCGATGCAATCTAGGTTGCTGTTCACGTGACCTAGAACTCTTCTGTCTATACAGATCAAGTAAATATTTAGTAGGCTTGCCATGTAATTCACTACTAGGAACACCATGATCGAGTAGCCAATGCCATAATTCCACATGTGTCAGACTATTCTGATTAGTGTTCCAACTCTGCTGTCCATTATGGTAACCATGCCAACCTTGCCTTTGTCGATTAACTGCTACCACTTGGCCCCTACTACCACGGGGTCCAATTGGCCCCATCATAGTTAAGTGTCTTAGTTCAATTAGGGCAGTTCCCACTGTCAAATGAGGTTTACATAAAATAGCAATCACGGCAGTCTTCAAGGATGCTGCAACTCCCTTCACAGATTTATTCCTCACGGTACTGGTGAAAGGTGTGTCTTCTGGACTCTCCATTTCTGGCTCTAGGGGTCTAATCTGATAAATGCAGTCTAACAGGCCAATTTCCCTAAGCCTCTGGATTCTTTCTTCTGCATTATACCAAGGCAGGTCTGGTACTTCAACTTGACTTAAGGTAGGCCACCGCATAATCCATGCCTCAGTAAGCCAACCAAATAAACTATTAGATCCTCTCCTGACCTCTTGAACTGAGACATTGAATGAAGAATCCATACTTAGTGGGCCTAAATCAATAAATTCAGACTCATCCAATTTTACATTCCTTGCACCATTATCCCACACCCTCAGTAGCCACTCCCATACATATTCTCCAGGTTTCTGTCTGTACATGTTAGCAAAATCAAGTAGGTCTTTTCAGGTATAGCGTTACCACCTCCTCATGCTGACAAAATTGCAGAAAAGTATCAAATATCTGATCACCCAGAGTGTCACTTCTCACAAGTACTTGATCTATTGGTGGTGCTATTTAGCATATTAATTTTGCCACCTCATGCCACAGATTAGCAGGGCCCTCTTTACTAACAGACACAGGGTCACTAGTGTCTTTAAGAGGAATCAAACTGGAGAACCAAACTAGGAAGCCCATCCTTATGAATTTGTCTTTCTCGAACCACTCCCAGTACCAAATGTGTTAGACTGGGTTTTCTAGAGAAACAAAAACCAGCGAAGCTTAGAGAGAGAGAGAGAAAGAAATTTATCTTAGGAAAATGGCTCACACACGTATAGAAGCTGGCAAGTCCAAAGTCCCTGGATCAAACGTCAAGCTGGAGGCTTTTCCTGGCTCCTGCAACCACAGGGGCTGAGAATCTCAAGGCTGGCAGGCAGTACACCAGCTATTGACTCCAATGAACGACGAATCCACGATCTCCAGGCCGAATGGTGGACTGCTCACTCATGGACAGTTGTAGGTAGCACAACAGAATCTCGATCCACAGAAGAATGTCTCTCTTCCCAGGATGTTCCTGGATATCCTGGAAGCAGGCCATACCCCTAGGGAACCTCCCCTTGAACAGATTGGCCACGCAGAACATAGTCATCCGATCCCATCATGGGAACAACCACACAGAACTGGGGTACAGCCAAGCTGACACACAGCTCCAACTATCACACATACCTAGTAACGCTTTCCAAGTATATTTTTTCTAGATGATGGTCTGTATACTATCCAGTATGGGGACTACAGGTACTGGCCACATGTGGCTGTTAAGTTCTTAAACTGTGGCTCCTGGGACCTAAGGAATTGAATTCTTATATTTTATTTATTTATATTTAAAGAGCTACGTGGAGCCAGTGGCTAAACTGTCAGACCACAGTTTTAAACCTTTTTTTCTGTGCTTAAATTAATACATAGTTATTTATTTTTTTCTTTTTTTAATGAAAATGGTGTCATACCATACTTTGTAGCAAACTAATTTGAACATATATGACACTTTCTCATGTTGTTAGATACTCTTCTACACTTGATTGCAGTGTTTCATGGATAACTTAATATTCCTTAGGATGAATTACAGGAAATGGGACTGCTGGGGCAGGGAATGTAGATAGATGGAGGAATGAATAGACATCCTTTAAAACTTTGCCCCTAACCTTTTATTTTGAGAAAATGTAAACCTATAGGAAAATACAGCAACAGTACATTGAATACCTGTGTAATCACCTGGAGTCACAGTTTTTAACATTTTACATTGTGTGTGTGTGTACATGAGTACTTTACCACATATATTTCAGCATGTACCTCCAAAGAACAAAGGTATTACCTTCAATATAACCATAATATATTTTCACATTCAAGAAATCTAACATTAATATAGTCCATATTGAGATTTTCTTCAGTTATCTCAGTAACGTCCTTTTTGTTTTTAAGGTGGGTCATGATAACTGGGTACGTGGAGTTCTGTTCCATTCTGGGGGAAAGTTTATTTTGAGTTGTGCTGATGACAAGACCTTACGTGTATGGGATTACAAGAACAAGCGATGCATGAAGACCCTCAATGCGCACGAACACTTTGTTACCTCCTTGGGTATGTACGCATTATGACATCTCTGAGCAATTAGATTATGGAGTGCCAGACATAAAATGTTTCACATAACCACATGGACTTTTCCAGGTAAGAAACAACTACATGCTTCCACAGCACAATAGAGAAGCCTAGTGAAAACTTTATGGATTCCTCCTATATGTTTTAAATTGTCCTTTCCTTAACTCTGTCTCTGTCTTTAGCCTTATAATAAAAAATTACTTTCTCCACTGTTCAACATTGGTTGAACTAGAATTAGGAAGAGGAAACTAACTGACCACCTACTAGTTTATAAGTTTCTGAAAGGAAATCTTACTCAAACCTTTCCTGTGGCAGATAATACTGTTAGGTATCAGGAACTCAAGGAATTTAAGTTTAATAAACACCTTCAGTATTATCTGTCTTTGAATCTAGAGTTTAAGATAATAAATATAATAAAATATAATACACTAGAGTATGATGAAAGAACCCTAGTGGCACTGTGCTTAAGTGCTTGTCGTTAACTGAAAGGATGGTGGTTTGAACCCACTGTGTGGAAAGGAACTGCTGATCTGTTGCCATGAGGATTACAGCCTAGGAAACCCTATGGAGCAGTTCTGCTCTGCTCTACAGGGTCACTATGAGTCAGAATCGACTTGGCACACAGCAGCAGCAGGGTGTGATGGATCTAATGATGAAGCTAAGCCTCAGTAAAATAGGGCTAATACCTCTCAGCATTGTTCAAAGGCTTAACTGTGAATATAAAGCATTAGTACTAAGCCTGGGACATAGTCAGTGTTCAATAAATGGATAGATTGAGGGTATCCTTGTTAGATTTGAGTAGTATTCAGCTGAGATGAGGTTTGCATTCGCAGTGAAGGGTTAATGTAGGATTTAGTCATTGAGTCTCAACTTCCCTAACAGTTGATGAGCTTATACCTTTTCAGTTGGTATGTGTATGTAGAAAAAGATGGATTTCCTGGCATTTGGACTTAACTGATTTTTGTGGCTCATTAAAGACTGACTGTATCTGAATCAGTCTAATTTTAAAATAAGCCTTTTCTTTTTCTTCCAGATTTCCATAAGACGGCACCATATGTGGTTACTGGCAGTGTAGATCAAACAGTAAAGGTGTGGGAGTGCCGTTGATTGAGTCTCATTTGGCCCCTCCTCCCTTTTTTCCTCTGGATGCACTCTGATGATACCATGGTTACCCCATTGAGCTCTGTTTAAATAAATATTGTCCTTTCATGTAAATTATTCTGGATGTAGATTGAGCTTATTAAATGTTACACACAAAGTATTCATGCATGGTGAATCCAAATTGTATACTGTAAATTTACATACGTTGTCTAGAAGTATCATAGGGTTTAAAAACCTGGGCTGGCATTGGTCACACCAGGCCTAAGAAGGCAGAAGTTGAATAAATTGAACTAGGGCACTAAACTGAATAGTTGACAGTGTCATTTTATGTTGGATTATTAATTCCTGTTTTCCTTTCTGCTATCTGTTGGTGCCTGACTTGATGGCCTCATTTGGGGAAAGGTTGTGGTTATTAGGGCTTTTTCTGAAATGTGTATCTATGTAACATCACTTAAGTGTGCTTAATAAATCTTCTTTAAGATGTTAGATAATAAGGCTACGATTCAAAGTCTTCTAAAACATCTATGTAATTTAATGGGGATCACACATTGGAATTTTTGGAATGACTCAATCGCCAAATCAGTAGGATATATCTGTTTGGCAGCCTAGCAGGAAAGGCTCGTGGTGTGTTTATGTAAGAGTGACTATCAATCTCAAATAAGAATAATCTCGGCATTTAACACCAAGTCATTTATTTCCTTTGGGTCGTAATGCTTTGTAAACAGGTTTTTTTTAAAAAAAAAAAAAAAAAAACACTGTAATACTCTAAGCTTTTATTTTCCACACTAGACATACTTCTAGTTGTATTCTCCATACTATTAAACTGTATAGTGGTATGACTTCCAAATAGAACTTAAGCTCCCTATTTTGTGTGTCATGGTACAAATCACTATTTGTTTTTGATGTTTTATAGGGATGTGCAATGTGCATTACATAATGACAGAGAAATATTGAAAAGGTTATGGTTGCCCATCTTTAGGGAGTGGAAGAAATACAGTAGTTTGTTTTTCACCATGGATCTGATATCAGTTTGAACTGTTTTTAACTTTCAAGTTTAAAACAGTTACAGGGTTTAATGGAATGTGCATAAAAGTACTGTTTTCACTTTTGTTTATATACAATGTTTATAAGTATATGGGCCTATCTGTAAATGGGTAAGTCTGTATATATATACCACACACATGCCACCTTTCTGTACTTGAGCCCTAGGTTTTTAATGAAATGCTAAAACGTGTAATTAGAATAAATCTTGCTATGGAATACCATGCTTTAGAACAAACCCTTTTTGATGGTAATGATTCTGAAAAGTTGTGGGAATTTTTCCTAAACTGAAGAAAAATCACTTTAGTTATTTTTCCCCCTAAATTGGAACATTCAGCATTTTACACATCCCTGATGTTATTGTATATGTTGATTCAAAGTTACTACAAGTAGATTTAAGAGAACCTTTATCCATGACTTAACGGAACAATATTCCATTGCAGATTATTAATAAAGAATTCCATTGCTTACCTAACCAATTTCTTTTTTAAAGAAAGTCATTTGAAAAGTTAACAAACAATGAAATAATAGTGACAGGTTAACAAAGATAAGTTTATTCTGAATTGTATTTTATTCATTTGTGTAATATGTGATTTTTTAAATGTCCAGTTGAATAATTAATGGAAATTTGGTTCCTGAAAAAGACAAAGGGTGAGAGTTAGCGCCCTGTAGATACACACAGAGAATAGGCCATGCATTTACTAGAAGCAGCTTAATGTCCAGCTTGTGTTTCTTATCTGTCTTTTTTTTTCCCCCCCCTAATAATTCCTGAGAGACCTCTCTGGAAGAGAAAGTGTTTTGAGAACTAATGGCTATATTTAAGGACAATACATTACAATTTAAGCTAATTCCTTAAATACAGTAGAATAACTTTCAGGACAATATTGCCTCACAACCCTGCTTACATTGAGGAGTCTGTCCCTCAACCCTCCCTCAGCTGTTCTGACTGGATTTTTCTACAGAAGCTATGGAAAATATCTTTGTTCTCGTTTGCTGCTATTTCCTGTCTTAATTTGAGAAATATAAATACATAGAAATGGTGCATCTTAACATTTGTTTGTACATGTATAAATGTCTTGTGTTTTTATTCATTTTTAGCATGTAGCAACACAAATTGTTTAAGGGTAAGCCACAACATCTAGAAATCATTCATAGAGATGAACAATAAAGGAAAAAATGGTACCGATTTAGGAAGAAATTAAGCTGCTTGTCCGCTGAGTTTCTTCCCCTGCAGCCTATGGTGACTTTTGTTGACAAAGGAGGAGAAACAATATTACTCTGTAAGCAAAGTTATCCTTACTTGAGAGATTGCCACAGCCTGCTGCTTAGTTGAGTTACCAGACATCCTCCATTTAAGAAGCAGCGAACATTGAATCTCAGGGATGGTCCTCAACTGGATCCAAATGTAACAAGCCCTGTTTGAATAATGAAGGAGGGTGGGGGAGAGCCATCCATCCACAATCCGGAATCAGATTTGCAAAGGCTTCCTGTACTGTTGTTTGACACTGCCCTGTTGGTGCCCTTCCTTACTGTTTTCTCTGTCTGCTGTCTAACCCTGTGCCTTGCCTGGGATAAGTACAATGATGAGGTTACTGGTTTGGATTGTAAGTAGAGGAATTTATTAATTGGTTTAGAGGTTCACTGCTGCTTTGTCACTTTCTTAATCAAATTGGCCATCTATTGAAGAAACAAAAAGCTGGTAGAACTGCATCCTCAGATGATTATTGACTTTGGTGTGTGTGAAGCCAAGAACAGACATTCCAGTGCCACCCTAATAAACCGTGCCCAAGAAGTCCTAGCTGCACTCTTGAAAGTGCAAGCCACGTAACCTGTGGTTGAGACATCACGTGGCGAATAGTTGCTGTTTGACATGGCATCTTGCACTTTAGGAGACTAATACCGTCCTGTTGTGTCTGTGTGGTGTGACCAGTTGTGTGCCCAGAGCACTACTCTGAAAAATCACTAGTGTTAGCAAGTCGTCCCGGGCTGTGGAGCGCTCGCTGTAGTCTTTCCGAAGCTTTGGCTCTAGATTCACCAAGCCCAGTCTCCTTCCTGTCAGTGCCCTGCTCTCCTGTTCGCCTCTTTCTGTTTCTATGTGAACTTCCAGGTAATATCACTCGTTAAATAGTTTTTTGTTTTTGTTTTTGTTTTTCAAACTTACTTAAAACTATTTAAAAGTAAAAGATGTTTTGTTGACAGTGGTGGCTTGATAATCCTTAAGCAACTGAAGTTTAAAAAAAAATTGTTGAAGAAAAAGGCACTTAAAATGGTAACATTTTCTGTCCAGCTGTATATGAGTCCAATGTGTTAATTACTCTAGATGATGCAAAGAAGAATCTCATGGTAGAGAAGCGATATGTACAAAATTGGTGGAAAAGGTTTTGGGTTTTTCCAGCGGGTGGGGGGAGGGCAAGATGGATTTACAAGTCACGACTGGACTGAACTGGCCTTTTTATCTTTCCACTATATCATGTAAGTAGCTGCTTTCTTGTCCTGCCTCCCCTTCAGGCATCCCTAAAGCTCACTCTGAAGATGTTAGAAACAAACACAAAGTCTTCGAGTTAGAAGTTGATCTTGACACTGACATGAAGGCAAGCATTGATTTCATACGAACATTGGAGAGGTGGTAATTGGAGAAAACAGTTCCCCAGATTGTAAGAGTTAACTGAAGATATTGACACAATTTTAAAAAATCAGTAAAGGAATGTATATAATATTGCTCTTGTGTTTTACAGTAAGATTTGTTGCTCTCAGACTGTGTAAAACAAAATTTATTCATGTTTTCTGCATATTAAAAAAATCTTATTGTACCAATTGGTAAACTATTAAATGCCTATAAAACTAGATGTGATTTATTTTATTTTTGGGGGTCTCTCTGTGCACAGATTTAAGACCATTTGAGATTGAGGTCTGACAAGGAGATGGGACTGTGTTCACACCAGTCATGGAAGGACCAAGGAGGGCGCCAAGTCACACACTGGCCACAGCACAGCCGGGCCTTGGTGTGGAAGGCGGTTTTTCAGGATGGTGCCGGTAATGCCCTTGCCATCTTCTTACCATGTAGGGGCTGAGGAAGAAGGGCTGCCGCAGGGTCTCATGCGGAGGTGGTCTGGCACAAAGCAGACTGGGGGTGGCCAGCTAAAGATTGTCTTCCAAGACCTCAATGCTTGCCGTTGCCATGTCCACCCTGCCCCCCTCCAGCTGCCTTTTGACTCTACAGCTAAGACCAAGGAGTTGAACCGAGAATGGTCCATTACAGCCACCTGTGGTGGGCAGGGCCCACAGATGAGCCCCTACCCCCTTTGTTATATAATGAGTGAGGCTTTGTTCTGCCCGGTGGTCTTGGGTTCATGAAGATCCTTAATATTATTTCCCATTTTGGCCAAAATGCACCAAAGGAGATTCTTCACTCCATGGCTGCCTGTGTGGTTTACTTCTGTTAGCTGTCATTCCTCTTTACAGATTACTGTGCAGGGTCTATCTGCTGCCTGTCTCAGGGCAACCATGAAGTCTTCAGCCCTGTTAATGTACTGCACCCTTATTCTCCACTTTTATGGGCAGGTGCTGAGTAATGGGGTGGCTTTTCTCACAGCCATTGTTTTGTCTCCTGTCGGGAGTAGCTTCTCCCCCAGAGTTGAAAGCTGGGCCCAGAGCAGTTGCCTAAAGTTAGTTTCTTGCATCTGACAGCTTTTCCCTTTCCTTGTATTGGTTGTCCTCCCTAGGCTGAGCTCCAGGTGATGGGCCCCACTATTTTCCTGATGGGTAGAGTTTCAGCTTTACTGTCCACAATACCTTGATAGGCAGTTCATCACATCAGGCCTCCCTCCAGGATTCGTGATTGTGTCTGTTCAGCTAGGGTGAGGGTCAGGAAGGTGGGAGACTTGTGAGAAATGGCGTAGCCCTGGCACTGGCTGCTCTCCCCCTGCCCTCGCATAACTGGCTTAGTCTCTAGTCAACACTTGAGTGCAGACACAATTCACTGTTGACATTAGAACTTTCTAGGGCAATGCTGCTCAGCATCACGTGGGCACTTGTTAGAATTTTTGGGTCCCACCCAAGTTTTACTGACTCTGAAGCAATCTTAAGAAGAGCCTGGTGATTCTGAGGGTGAAGTGTGAGAACCACTGATCTAAAGGAAACAATCTTCCATCAGTGAAATTTGAGCAGATGTCATTGGTCCCTGGACCCCACAGATCTCACTTAGACACTTGAAATTTGTTCCTTTATGAATGTTTTGATGATACTTGGTCACCTGCCCCTTTCAATGCAAGTGGGACTAGGGGAAGGAAAACGCCTGATACTGTAATGCCTGCCCAGTGTGTACTGCATACACCGTTATTCTCACATACACCCCCTGCTGGTGAATAACTTTGTGAACAGGGAAACTGGCTCATGGAGGTATAGGTCATGTGCCAGAGGTCTCAGCTGTGTAAAGGATGAGCTGGGGCTTCAACCCAAATCCACTTGTTCTTTATCTGGCTGCCTATATAAAACATCTTGTTAGTGATAAAGTGGGACATTCTGACATTTTTAAGAAGATAAATTTTTTAAACAATCAGCCCTTCAAGATCAGAAGGGCAACATTTGCCCAAGAAGAAAGTTCAGAAGGCAGGCAGGATTAGGACGGGAGGAATGGAAGTGAGAAACGGAGGAAGTAGGATAAGTGATGTTACATTGAAGGGACTGCAAACAGTGATGTGAAAAAAAAAAAAAAAAAGTGAACTGTTGAGTAGAAAACCGATTTTGACCTGTAAACTTTCAGCCAAATCACAAAAAGTTAAGGAAAAGAAAAAATGCAGGACATGTCCTCATCTTATCCTTGTCTCCTCCCTCCCCATCACTACATTTTATCCCACTGCCAGCTCCATTGTGGATGGCTGTTAGGAATGGGTGACTAGAAACGGTATAAACGGGTAGTTTCACTCCACTTGCTGGCCTTAGAAACACTCCTCAGCCTGTGTGGTGACTGTGGTCACGATAATCCTGAATGGTCTGCAGCTTGGTCTGGTTTTTTTTTCATTAGTAATTTACCTGCTTAAAGGGGGTATTTATTTGAGGATTGCTACTTGTCCTCTGCATCTGTCCTGGTTATGCTTGCCTTTGATTTTGAATGTTTGGGTCCTGCGTGAGAGAACATTTATGCCACATCACAACCTTTTATTCAGGAGGCCAGTTCCCTACCAGTAACACCCTTATAGAACATACAGGAATTCCTCAATTAATAGTTCTCTCAAGACACGTTTAACGACAGTTTTGTAAGGTGGGGAGTGGAGACAGGTGACATACCTTTGAAAGTTTCAGTTTTAACATTTAAAAAAAATTTAATTATAAAATATGCATGCTAAGAAAATGTCAAAAGAAAATTAGTGGAAACTTAAAGACTTGGTGAGGGATTGGGACATGAAGAGACAATGGATATGGCTAACAATGCTTATCAACAGTCCATCCTGAGTAGTTGCCCAAATGGAAGCCGTAACCAAACACATACCAGTTCTCACACTACCTCTTCCTGGATACCACTTTACCCTTAAGGGGGGAAATATATATATATGATGATGATGTTGTTATGTGCCGTTGAGTCTGCCCCGACTCATAGCGACCCCTCCTTGGGTTTCCGAGGCAATATCACTAGATTGCCCAACCTGCCTTTCAAGGAGTGGCTGGTAGGTTTGAATCGCCAGCCTTCTGGTTATCAATCAAGTGTCTTAGGCACTGTGCTACTAGAGCTCCTTCGATGGTCATGGTACTGGTTAACTTTAAAAAAAAGTCAAGCACTTCTCTCCAACTGGCTCAGGAAAACAGGCATTAAGATCGTAATTGTTTTCCCGCACAATTTCAGACACGAAGGGCTCTCTGCAAGTATTCAGGCAGACAGACATATTGAGGCTGAGGGCTACCCTGCTCAGGAGGGGGTGGACCTGCAGCAGGTACCAACTGTTGGACTTACAAACTTCCCTTCCTAAGGCCCCTCTCCTCTCCCTCTGCCTTCACCGGCCCCCACTCTCAAACCCATTCAAGTGAGCTCCCTTTCCCTCTTTCCATCCAACCTCACATCTCACTCAATCCCCAAAAGCCAATGCACTCTAAAACCTCTTTCAGTCACTCACTCTGCCTTCTCCCTAGCACTCCTCAATCTCTTTTCCTGGGGATGCTGCCCAGTTCTGACTCTGGCAAAGTCAGACCAGTGAGTGTTTCACCACCTCCAGTCCCCCTGGCCAGTTCAGCCCTCCAGAGCTGGACACACTCAAGCCTGCACCACAGAGCTCTAGAGAGTTCTCAACATTTCCTTGCCTGGGACCAGACCAGGGACACATGTGTGACACTTCCTTGGGTCTTGACTGTGAAAGATGGGCAAACTCTAGCCTGTGACTCTACCTCCTTCGCTCTTCAAAAACTCTGAGGATAACCTTGAACTTGACCTAATTGATACACTATTCATCTACTTTAAACGTGTACCACTTAACACTCTGGTAATGCCCTTCGTGACTGAATGAACCTGGACACACAACACGCAGAAGAGGCTGGCACAGCAGGTTTCAAAATCTCACTTTATTCCAATGTGAAATGAAGACGTGATGGTTTAAAAACAAGAAAAAGTTCTTGATCAGCTGTGGGGTCGCTTTGCTTGCTAGCTCACGCCCACTCCCTTTGAAACAAGGTTGTCTAGACAGACCATACCCATTAGCAGCTCTTGGCAAAGCCCCCAGACAGAGGACCCAGCCCAGAAACCGCTCCCTCAAGCTCCAAAGTGCCACAATCTCCTCCCAACTGTGGTCAGGGCTCCAGACAGCAGGGAGTAGCAGCACAGACAGACAAGGAGCAGAACAGCAGGCCTCAGGCCGCTGGCATCCTCCTACAGCCCTCCCCCACCACCTGAGCCCCTCTCTGCAGAAGGTACTATGTGGGAGGACAGGTAGGGAGCTGTGCTCCATGAGCAGGTGACAGTCATTCTACCTGGTAACTTCTCCCAGGGTCCATGATTCAGTCTTGCCCCCCTTCACCCAGCCCCACCCCCACTGTGCGTTAGGCAGCTTAGGTTAAAATGGGGAGAAGGATACATTCAGACTGTAGCCCCCAAGATTATTCCCATCTGGGGTACAAGAAGTGGGGAGGCAAGTCAGAGCCTGTGGCAGTGCCTCCTGCTAGGGCCCATAGACCAAGAGGTTGGGCAGGACACAGAAATGTTGAAGCACCCCCACTGCCGCCCCCCAATCCCTGAGCCACAGCCCGATCAGCTCCATGGTTAGCAAAACCTCTGTAGCTCCAATCTTGCCAAAAAGCTAAAGTGCACCCCCGACTCCCTAGCCCTGCCACAGAGCTCTGTATCCCCACCCCCAAGACACAGGTAAAGCCCCCCATCTTTCTGGCTCAAAACCTGGACTTTAAGCCAGGCTGGGCCCAGGGGTAGTGGCAGCAAAAGCAGCAGCCATAATGTCAAACATACAAATGACCTGAGAAATCGCATCTGCATTCACCCACTCAGGACTGACTCGGGGCTATGTACAGGTAAAGGAGGACAGGTCAGGACACTCACAGGCGGGGACACACTCGCACACACCTGCTTGAAGGCAGGGGGCCGGGGGCACCTGCCCCCACAGGGAACTGATGCCCACACATTCCATCACATGTCTTCAACGGGCCTCGGTTTCTTATATTCTTTAAACCAGTGCAAAAACATCATTGGGGGGCAGGCGGACCAGGCTGGGGTCCCAGGAAGATGCTGGGGTGGGTGGGGTGGGGTTGGAAATGTGGAGGAAGAGGGGCTGTTTCCTCTCCCAGTCTGTGGGGCATGCCCCCTTCTCCTGGAGTCTGGTAATGGGGCAGCTGACTGACTGTCCGTCTGTCTGTCCCTTTCTACCCCTGCAAGCTTGGAGAAGGGTCCTTGGCCACCTGGGGCTGAGAGGCAGCCTCCTCTGGGGGCCCCGCAGGCTCAGACTCAGTGGCCATGGGCTCCTCAGCCTTCTCCCTGTTTCTGCTGGCCTCCTGGAGCTGCTGCCGCCGTGCCACCTCGGCCTTCAGGTTCTCCAAGTCTTTTTGGCTGAGTAGAAGGAGGAGATAAAGGGTGGGGCGTCAGAGTGGGCCTGGACCCTCTGCCACCCTACTTGCACTTGGGACAAGATCAGGCTCTGGGCTTTATTCAGTGAAGGACAGGTGGGGAGCAAGTGCTTCCCTCCTACCCCAGCAAAGGCCCCAAAAAGAGGAAAAAGTGAGAACTCCCATGTGTTTGACACCCACCCTTCAGCTAGGCCAGGCCCCTTCATCTTTTCCCACTTGTTTCAAACACGCCTCACTCCTGGCCTCTCCTACAGCAGATGCTGCTTGGAGGAATGCGGGCAGGGGGAGAACGCAGAGACGCTCTATGAACACGCACATCCCTGCTGACCACACCCACTTCCCACACTGGTGAGGGCGTGGAGACCCCACTGGTTCACAAAGGTAGCACCATTTGTAACGCCAACACAGGAGCCACTCAGGGTCCAGTTATATCAGGCACAACCCTACCTAGAGATAACAAGCAACCAGAGAAAGGAAGAAGCCATTCTTCATGTACTGACATGGGAAGATCGTCAAGATATACTGGCAGTGAAAGGAAAAAACACCAAAAATCGACATGCGTCATACACTACATATGCGTACAAAAGGAGAGCAAAGGATTACAGATACATATGTACACGGTTATGCATACAGTATCTATGGAAGGACTCATAAGGAACCTCATTGGTCATTTTCAATTCTGAGCCACGTCAACGTATCACATGCTTAGAGGAAGCGAGAAAAAAAAAACACCTCCCAGCTTTGGAAGAGGTGGGGTGCAGTGCGGAAGGGAGCCTCACCTGAGAGGAATGAAGAGGATGCCGTTGATGACGTTGAGCTGTTCCAAGACACTGGCCATGCTGGGGGCTGTGAACTGAGGGGCAGTGGGGAAGATGAGCCAGTAAGAGCCGGGAGGCGGCATATGGAAGCCCCTCAGCTCCCTGAGGGACGTACCTTGAGGGGTGGGATGTTGGCGCTGGAGCCATTGCGGTAGATCTCGTTCATGGTACGCTGCAGGGCCACGGCCTGCTGGGTCAGGCACTTGAGGTACTCAGAGCTCTCCTTGGTTTTCTCGTGGTCCTCGCCCAGCTACAGGGGGATGAGGGGCACAGGCAGGTCAGGACTGCCCAGAGCCTGCAGGCCTGACTCTGCCCTCAAGCCCTGCCCACCCCACTGAGTCTTCGTTTTTAGTTTTATTGTAGTGAAAACACACATAACAAAACGTATCCCATCTCACCAATTTTTACAAACAGCAACACTGATTACACTCTTCAAGCTGTACAACCATTATCACTGTCCTTTTCCAAATCATTCTACCACCATTCACATGAACTCAATGCCCCCGGAGCAAAAACTCCCTCTCACCATCCCTCCTACCCCTGGTAACCACCAGTAACTCTGGTTGCTATATATTTGCTTACTTCATACCCACCTGGGTCTTGTAGATGGTATAGCCTTCCTTCTCATGCTGCAGGGCCGAACGGAACTCAGCTTTGCTCTCATAGACCCGGGCAACAAGGTGGTGGCTGCAAGGGGGCATGGGCGTTCACAGGGAGAGGGAGGGACTTCAGTGGGCTGGGCCACTGGGGCTGGATTCTGAGGGGGGAGATGACAGCATCTACTCTATCCCTCCCTGGAATCTACCATGTCTAGGACTCAAGAGAAGAGGTGGAAGCTGAGAGAAGGTTCCTCATGCATCAGATGAAAGACAGGGCAGCATCCCTCCCCCACCAGAACCCAGTGCTCCCACGGAGCGTGCGGCACTTGGACAGAGTGCTCCCATCCGGCCAGGGCAGCCTCACCTGAGGGCCACCTTGAGGGACTTGGGCCCGTGGTACTTGGTGCTGACGGCCAGCGCATTCTCCAGGAAGCGCAGCGACAGGTCGTACTCCATCACTCCATGCAGCACCAGCCCGATATTGTTCTGGGGGACAGGCAGGAGGGCCTTAGTCAGCTCCCGGTGCCCTGGGATTCCGAGGCCGGTCCCTGAGGGCCCCTCACCCCCCACGGGCACTCACATCTAGCAATGCCATCTCGGGGTGGTCTTCCCCAAACACAAGCAGCATGAGGTAGCGGGCACGGTACAGCAGGCTCAGGGCTGTGGACAGCTGGCTGCTGGCAAAGCAATACAGGGCCAGGTGCATCTGCAGGGCAGGCTGAGGTCAGGCCAGGCCAGCCCGCAGGCCCCACCCGGGCAGACCCTGTCCCCGGAAGGCTACACACGTATTCCTGGATGGTGTTGGGGTGCTCGATGCCCATCACACGCTCACTCATCAGCACTGCCTTCTGTTGGTTGCTCAGGGCCTGGGGAAACGGGTGGGGTCAGGCCCGGGGCGGGTCCGCATCCCCCTCCTCCCTCCCGCAGCAGCCTCCAGAGCTCAGCCCAGGCCCCTCGGCTCTGCCGCTTCCAGCTGCACTTTCTATCTTTCCTTCGCACAAAGGCAGTGGAGATGGAGTCGGAAAGCAGCTCTGTGACCCTAGGCCTCCCTGCCCCTGTGAGACTGTTCACTTTTTAAAAACTTTGTTACCTTAAACCTTTTCTTCCTAAGCAATGTGCATTAAAAACATACAAATCTGAAATTGTTCTAAAATGTCAGTGCCGATTTAAATATGCACATGCATATATACATACAAAACAAACCCAGTGCCTTTGGTTGAAGTAGGGTGGGAAAGCTAAAGTCTGTCTGGCCCTTAGAACAGCTTCTAAGAAGCTGGACCAAGGACCCTAGGACCACGGATGGCTGATGAAAACCAAAATAATGGTTACACACAGTGACAGAGACAAGCCAGCAGCTTCCACGTGATGCTGACCAGGTACTAGGTTTTGTGGTGAACACTCTACTATGGAGTCTCAAAGACTCTCCTCCCAGCATCCCTGAGGGAGGTCCTATCACCATTTCTACCTTACACAGGGGCGGGGAAGGCAGCCCAGACAGGGCGAGCCATTTCCAGCGCCTCCCTGGTCTACAACCATGGAGACCCCAGGCTGAGCATTCTCATCACCCTCAGGCAGGGCCCCAGGTCTGGCTTCCCATTCCCTGCGGCGGCCTGGCTACTGTCCCAGGTCCCTCACTCTCACCTCCCAATACCAGGCTGGGCCTCAAGGCCTTTGCTGACGCAGCTCAGCAGGTGCTCAAGGCCCACCTCAGCATAGTCACCCATGATATAGTGGAGCCGCGCAAGCAGACGCAGGCAGGCACAGATCTCCACGTGCATGGCGCCGTACACGTTGTTAAACAGGTTCAGAGCCTCATTGATGAGCTCGCAACCCTCCTTCAGGAAGCCTGTGGAGTGCCCACAGGGTGGCAGGTCAGGACGGGGACAAGAAGAGAGCCCGCCCCTTCCCTGGCCCCACCCGGCCACGCACCCTGCTGTACTTTGGCCTGCCCGCTCTGGAAGAAATGGAAGGCATCCGAGGCCTTGGGGCTGACGTGCTTGACCACAGGGAAGATGTTGAGCACATCCTCCTCAGTGAACGCTGGTTTGTGGCGGCTGTCAAAGCTGTATTCCTTCAGTAGGATCTGGGGACAGAGCCCGGCACCCTGACTGGGAGCCTCAGGCCTGGCTCCGCTGGCCCCACTTACCAACACAAGCTGAGGGATGGCCCCACAGTAGACCCACCATCCTTCAATGACCCTGCAGGGTCTCACCAGGAGGTGGGGAACCCACTGGAGGCTGAGGAACAGGACACTGTGCTCACCTGGATCCCAGTTTTCAGGGAGATCTCCCGCAGCAGTGTGATCTTCTGGAGGCCATAGGTCTCCACAGCCTGGTCCACAGTCTCACTGATGGGGAGGCAGCAGGTTGGTTCCCACCTCTGCCCCTTCCCCAACAGTGGGCTCTCCACCTGAACACCAAGCCATCGTAGCCCCTCCTGAGCCACTCCCACCCTCGAATAGGTACTCAGAACTGACAGCCTGTCTCTCGATTCCCCAAACTCTGTTCCTTCAGAGCTGACCCCTTTTCTCTCCTCAGTCTACTGCCCAGTGGCCATGGGGCCAGGGATGCAAGAGGATTGTCATGCCCTCCAGGAGTACAGAGTTCAGGGCCCATATCCCTTACCCTGGCCTGTACCAGCCTTCTCTCCACCTCCCACCATCCTTCCCTGCCATGCCCGTTCCCATACCACTCAAGGCTAAAGTCGAAGTAGTTCTTAGCCTCCTGGCAGATGTTTTTCCAGAGCTCCTGGGGGGTCATGACAGCCCAGGCTGTGTTATCCAAGGCCCCCAGGGGCCGGTTTTTCCGCCTCTTATTCCTCTTCTTGGAGACCAGCTCGTCGGCAGGCAAGTGGGCCACGGGGTTGGGATAGGAGCTCAGGAAGCAGTTCAGGAAGTGGCTGATAGCAGCTGAGAGGCCTGAGAGCTCGACCCCCTGTGAGGGAAGTGTGGACCAAAGTCACAAGGGCCCTCAGCCCCCAACACAGGTTCTTCTCCAATGTCCCACACCACTCAGGGAGGCCCTGGCCAGGCTAGGAGCTCGGGAGGAAGGGGAGTGGAGGGCAGTACCTGCAAGTACGTCTTGAAGATGTGTTTGGCAGAGCGGGTTATGAGTTCTCCGATACCAATTTTCTGCAAGGATTCAAAACAGAAAGCCTTGGTCAGACCCCAGGCCTCCCTCCCAAGCCCTTCTGTCTCACACCCCCTGAGCATCACTCACATAGATGTGGTCCAGCTGGTCACGGGCGGGGCTCCGGAGCACCAGGTCCAGCACCTTGCCCAGGTAGCGCATGTTGATGCCACGTTGGCGCATCACCTCAGCCAGTGTGGCCCCATCCATGGGCAGCACCCCGTGATCTGTGCAGTCCTTCACCTGCAGGCTGCAGCAGGTCAGGCCCCCACAGCCTGGGGCCCTCTGTCCTCCTCCCTGCCCTGGCTCTTCCTGGAGACCCCACTACCCTGGGCCCTGAGGAAGGAGGAGGACCAAGACCCAAGCTCCCAGCCAGCAAGAGGAGAAGGAGACAATGCAGTAGCAACAAGCGTGTGAGGACCTGTCCCGGACTTGCACCCTCACTGGGACTTGGGACAGGTGAGCCCTGGTACCTCAGTCCCTCCCTCCCAGGAAGCAGGGGGAAGGGTGGTCCTATAGAGGGGATGAACTCAGAGAGCCCAAGTGGCAGGCTGTAGACTCCCCTCTGACCACACAAGGAAAGCAGTGGGGTGTCTTGGGGAGATCTGGCGAGCATGCCACCTGAGCATGGCACTGCTTAGAAGGGTGAGCACCTGCCATCTATGGGGCTCAAGAACAAATATGGTACAGATGAGGAAAACAGAAGCCCACCCTACCTTTCCCCAGTGCCAGCCTGCCCCACATCGGTGAAGACTCCACTCCAGGCCCTCCTACCACATGGGGGCTTAGAGGACCAGATCCCTGGGGATACTGGCCCACACAGTGGGGTGGGGTGGGGGAGTATGGCAGAGCGAATTCTGTGCCTGGCGGCTCACAGCGTCCCTTGGGTCAGCTTCCCCATCTGTGAAACGGGGCTGACATTCCTGCTCTGCCTGCTGCGTAGTTCAGGAAGTGCTGCCGCTCCTGAGAAGGTCCCACAGCTCCCGGTCCCTGTCCCAGCGCCCTCCGTGAGCCCCCGCCATGCCCCTCACCAAGCCTGGGATCTGGCAGGAGAGCAGGAAGGCAGCTGCGTCTTTCAACAGCTGCTTCTGGTCTCGAACTTCCTCCTGGCAGGATTCGGGGAAGCGGACCCCTGGGGGAGGGAGGAAGACAGGCTTGAATGAGGCAGGAAGGCAGGAGAGGAGGGGAGTGAAAAGACAGACATCAGTTTGGGGCGAGAGGCAGTACTCAGACGGGTGAAGGGACTCACAGGACCAAGGGTCCCACGACTACCTGCCATGCCATCCTGCCCTGTCCCTTAGTGTTCCTGCTCTTGCACACCCCAGGCCCCACCGCTTGCCTGGCGAGAAGATGTCAGGGTTGAAGCGAATGTCGAAGGCTGTGCTACTGACAGAGCCCACGGCCTTGCAGGCGTTGCAGATGACCTCCCGGCTCCGTGGGTCTGCTGTGGAGAGGAAGCCCACCCTGCTGTCAATGGGACTGCCCGGGCCAGGCTGCAGAGCACAGCCCTGCCTGTGTATGAAAGGGTCAGGACAGCACGGAGGCTTCCCTCTCCCCAGGTGTCCCCGCAGCCCCACCTGCACCATCGTCCGAGGCAATGGTCTCTGCCAGCTCCTTCACCTTGGCCAAGCCGCTAGCACTGCCACCTTCCTCCTCACCGCCCACCTCAGGTCCCGGGGAGACCTCATGCTTGGGCACCGCTGAGGGGGGGCCGCCGTTTTCCAGGGAAGTAGGACTCTCCATCTTGCTGGCTTTCTGCTGCATCAGCTGCAGAGCCGCCAGTTTCATGAAGAGGAGGTACCTAGAGCGGAGCAGACAGGGTGGAGCAGGGCAGGGAAGGCACGGCCTGAAGCTCAGCTGCCCGAGCAACTTCTCGCCGACCGGGGGCGTGGGCTCCTAGCATGCTGGGGCTGGGGAAGGTACGGTGAACAGCCCGCAGGCCTGGGACCCAACACACCAGCGTGCAGGCCAACATGCCAGCCCAACAACTGCCTGGGGGCTGCAGGGCAGGGTAAAACTCAAGACTCCTGAGACAGGCAGGGCGGTAAGTGGGAGAGGAGAGATCAGCTAACCTCTCAGGCTGGGGGTCCTAACCAGGACAGGAATATTCATCGCATAGGACTGTCCCATGAAGCAGAAGCATAAACTGGGATTTCAGGACTAAGCGGCTTAATGTCAGTGGGTGAGGTCTGTGACTGTGGCCCGGGCAAGTTCTTCTCTTGGTAGTATCTACCCTTCAATGATCAGTACCCAGAACCCACAAAGCCTCCTGCTGTGGCCCTGGCAGAGCAGCCCCCCGCCTCACCTGTGCTCCACAAAGGCATCGACCAGCTCCTGACGCAGACAGCAGAGCTTGTGCCGGTGGGCGCGGGGGAACCCAGCCCGGGTGCACTCCTCGGGCAGCTCCTCCCCGGGCACGGGCAGGAAGTTGAGGTCGGGCGGGAAGGTGCGCAGCAGGTCAAGGATGTAGTGGCGCCCGTCATTGCCGATGATGCCCTTGCACTCGACGGAGGAGCAGAGCTCTACCTCCTCCTCCCGGTCGTTGAGCACCCGGTGCCGCAGGATCTTGAGGGGCCGGCTTGTGCGTTCCAGCAGCTCCAGGTACCGTGGGTGGGACACCACTGTCTTGCCAAAGTCAATGGAGCCATAGATGACACTCTGCTCCTGGTCCCGCTCCAGAATGCCGGGGATGATGGACTGGGCTGTGACACGGTAGCCACGGTAATCCACCACCACCGTGCCCAACGTGTACAGCCCCTCTACGTCCACCGCGTTGTACGTGCGCACGCCATTCAGGTCGTTGGTAGGGGCCACGTAGGCCGCCACGTCCCCACCAAAGTCCTTGTAGTGGTCACGGACATCAAAGCCCAGGCTGAAGAAGATATTGTTCCAGATAAACATCTGCATCTTGGTCTCCTCACTGGGGTTGATGGCCATGACATTGCCGTCAATGACCGCCATGGCCCCCCGTGTGGCTGCTGCTGTGAAGTCACTGTGCACCTGCGAGGAAGAGTGTGAAACCCTGTCACCAGACCCTGTCTGACCAACCTCAGCTAGAGGCAGAGGCCACAAGAAACCTTCTCAGCTTGCTCATGTTTGGAAAAGGGCAAGAAACCCCTTTATAAAAGAACCAAAACACAAGCAGCACTTCCATTTAGGGAGACAACATAGCTTAGTGACTAAAAGGCAATGTAGCTCCAAAGTCACATTTGTTGTTGTTGTTGTTATGTGCCTTTGAGTCAGACCTGACTCACAGCAACCCATCCTTGGGTTTCCGACTCCTCGGAAAGAAGGCTGGGCAATCCACTTCCGTAGTGATACCGCCTTGGAAACCCAAGGAGGGGTCCCTATGAGTTGGGGTCGACTCAACGGCACACAACAACAACATCACTACGGAAGTAGATTGCCCAACCTTCCTTCCGAGGAGTGGCTGGTAGGTTTGAACCGCCAGCCTTCTGGTTAGCAGTCAAATGCCTTAGGCACTACGCTACCAGAGCTCCCAAGTCAGGTCTGGGATCCACCAAACACGTTGATGACTATGGATAAGGACATTCCCAGGCCATTTTCTCACCTATAAAATGGTGATGATATGAGTGAGGAGGCCGAAGGATTATCTGAGATAAGCCTCCAAACCCCTTCACACTGCCTCCAGTCAAGTCAGGGTCCATAGCACTTATGTTTACCATTATCTCTAGGCAGCTAAGATCATGAGAAATTCTCAATTTAACTTTTTAAAATGGGATCATTTTTTCTTTATTTGCCTCTCTCAGTAAAAAGCACTAGAAGTTTTAAACACAAACACTGTGCAAATGTATCCCCAGCACGGAAGGGTATGGTAGGCAGTGTGTACCCAGGCAGGGAAGAAAGCTGGAGTGGACTTTGCTGCTTGCCCACACTGGAGGCAGGACCCCTTCCCGTGGACTTCAAGTCTCAGAGGTCAGAATAAGGAGCAGGATGCTCCGCAGGGGCCCTGAGCAGCCCTTGGGGCAGCAGAGAGGGCTGAACTGGTCTTGGCTCCCTTTCTTCCTGTCACAAGAAACCTAGCAGTGGTTGTAGGCAGGCCAGTAGTGGGTGATCAGGCCAGGGCTAGGGCACCTTGAATATGGCTCTTTCTCGCAGAAGCCGCTCGGGCAGGTTCTTGCGGGGCAGCTCCCTCGTCGTCTGCAGCTCTTCATTCCAGTCCCGGGTCTGCCAAGGACCAGGAGGGAGACCAGCTCAGCCTCTGCCCCAGGGCAGGGCCTGCCTCCACCTCCCCAGACAGGACAAGCCACAGACACTCCAGACTACAAAGCAGCAGGAGGAGCCCCCAGACATGCACACAGAGCCCTGGTTGGCCTTCACCAAGGGGAGGGGCGGGCCCGGGAGGCCAGCACCAGGCACCTGTCCAGGAATGTGCTCCTCGTAGCCCAGCCGCGAGGTGTAGGCGTCCTCCGCGCGCACACAGTCCATGGCGTGCTCTGCCTGGGGGGCCGTCCAGCTGTACACCTGGAACGGGGTGGCGATCCTCTCGAACGGGTGGCGCTGGACCCTGTGGCAGGCGGGGGGTGGGGGGAGATGGGGTGCCCGCCAAGCTTGGAGCCCTGACTTGGGCAGCCTTTTCTCTGAGGACTCCTACCTAGTCTGGCACCACCCCCACCGAGACTCCACCCTGAGGAATCACAGAAGCAAACGGAGACCGCTCCTGGGGCTGCTATCACCTCCCCTGGCTGACAGTTCCCTAAAGGGGGACTCTTTGGCCCAGAGGTCAGCCTGGCCAGTTTGTCCCACTCCTTGTGGCCTGAGACAAGGTAGGGACGGGGGCAAAAGCACTACCTTTTCTTCTGCAGCACGGCAAAGTTTTTTTTAAAGGTCGGGCTGATTTGGTTGAGCAGCTCCACCAGGGAATGGCTGAGGAAGCGGGGGCTTGCAGGTTTGGGGTTGAAGTGATATGCTGTAGATCTGCAGCAGAGGGGGTTACTAAGCAGGCAAGAAGGCAGGTGGGCCTGCACCCCAAGTGTCTGCTGGTCGACAAGCAAGAACTCACTGGTTCAGGTAGAAGCCCCGCGTGGAGGCCGTGATGCTGACTTGTCGGTCCTCGGCTGTGATCACAAATAGGTACATGAGGTCCCCATGCATCTTGCGGTTACCGGGTGGCGGGTTCCAGCCACTCATGGTGAGCACCTTCAGGCACTGCAGGGGCTGCAGGGGCGGCTGAGCATGAGTGCGCCAGGCCTTCTGGTGTGGTGGCTCTGCCCCACCAGGGCCTCACTCCCCGGCCCTCCCCAGGAGCCCCACCTTCCAGTCGCGGTTCTGGGGCTGCAGTGGACACAATGGCCGCTCCCGGCTCCCTGGAAGGATGTACTCGGGCGGTGTGCAGTCAATGGGGTCCATCTCCAAGCCCTTCTTCCGTTTCCCGCTGTCTGAGGGACCGGAGGCTGGTGGTCAGCACAGGGCCCAACCAGGGGCCAACAGGTTCCCACCTGGTCTCTCAAGGCCTGCATCCTCCATATGAAGACCCTGCCCTCAGCCCCTTCCCCAGCCCTCCTTGCTCCCAGCCCATGTGTACCATCCCCAGGCCAATGCCACCCCTCTTGCCGCACCTCCCAGGTCGCCGTCGGTGAAGACACTCAGGAAGGACAAGGAATTGCAGTCAACCCCATTGAAAGCATCAGACGGGTCCAGGCTCTTGAGCAGGTCTCGGACATGGCGCACGTGGATGCGGGCCTCGCGTACCGTGTATGGTTCTGCCGGGATTGGAAGGGGCAGGTCTTAATCAAGGGCCAGGCTGCTGGGACTCTACACCCTGGAACCACCTATCTAGCAGAGAGAATAGCTCACAGTGACACTATCATGGGTGGTTTTAATTTCCAACTTTAGGATTACATTTTCAAATTCCATTATGAACACACAGGCTGGGGTTCTGATTTCAAAACACATGCTCCTGTCTGCTGGTGGGCAGTGAGCCCTGTTTGCAAAGAACCTTCTGCAAAGAGCACAGACCTTGGGGGGTCGACAAAAGCCACTGCCTTTTATGCGCTAATATCATGGTGAGCAGAGTCTGCAGAGCTGCTGGCCCCCGGAAGCCCCACCCTGTCCACCCACTATACCCCAGAACCCCAATTTCTTTAACACTGTGCCCAGTATGTGTTTCATGAAATTTCACTAGGGCCTCTTTGGGGGAGAAGAGAGTTTCCATGACCAAGTAAGTAAAGGTGTTTTGTACATTTGCTTTCAATAAGCTGACCTGCCCTGGGACTTCTGATGACTCGAGTCCTTACTTTACAACTAAACTAGCCTGTCACCCACCTGCGAGCTGGTCAACTTTATACCTTCCTTTTGAGATTTAACTTTTCTCTTTGCAGCCTGCCACCATGCCTGACCCACCTTCCACCACACGCAGCACCGAGCCCTCCTGTAGCCCCTCAACACTGCGCAGCTCTGAGAAGTGGTCCAGCATGTTGCCATCCAGGTGCAGTGAGAAGCAGGTGCGGTGACACGTGTCTTCACGGTCCATGAGCACCTGGTGGATCTCCTGCACCATCTCCTGGGGGGACACCTGCCAGGAAGATAGGCCCAACCACCCCAGTGAGAGGCCACATGGTGGGGAGTGAGGACACAGCCCTTTTCCCCAACCCAAAGGACCTAGAGGTCCTTAAAAAGAAAAAAAAAAAAAAGCCCCCAAATACTCATTTCCCCACTTTTGGGCTTTTAAGTACCAGGCGCTGTCCATACATACCATGCCCATCCGCACTGTGTGTGCACATGCAGGGCATACTGTACATGCAGGCCAGAGCCTGGTTCCACTGCCCTTGGGCCTAAACAAGGGTAATACACCCCTTGCAGACCAAGGGTAAGCCCCAAGCCAAGAGCAGGAGGCAGGACAAGGAAGGAGGAAACGACCATCTTGCCTCCTCCCTTACTCAGTGCCAAGGTTCCAAGGCAAATGACTATCCCTTCCAGGAGAGAGGGGCTCTCTGGAGCCCAAGAGGGCCTTGCCTGGTTCCCCAATGAGTTATCAGCCTACAAGACTCTGGGTTGATTCGGGCACTGGAGACCACCCAGTACCACCTATCCCACTGTGACATACCTAAAGACACAGAGTCCCAGGAAGCCTGGGTCCCAATACCCCTCAGCCACTGCCACATCTCTGCCCAGTCAGGACTGGCAGTCTCAGCTAGTACTTGTCCTCTGGCAACAGGGGAATGACTTGAACCTGGACTCAATTCCCAGGTCCACCAAGCTAGCTGAGTGACTTGTGGGCCAGGCATAGGTATCCTCGCCTGCTCCCAAGAGCATGGGGCAAGGACGAGCTAGAGCGAGCCCTGGCTTTCTGGCCTCATCCTTCCCCATGGGCTCAGGGGCCTGGTCCCCAGCACCCTACCCTCATCTCACCTGCAGGGAGAAGGGCTCGATCCCAGGGGCCAGGATCTTCACAGAAAAACCCGTGTCCTGAATGACAATGACTTCCTGCCCGGTGGCCTCCTCTCCTGGCTCGGCCTCATCCAGCCCATTTTCCCGAGGTGGCTCAGCTGCCCCCTCCTCCTTCTTCAGACTCTCTGGGCAGTCTCCATTCAACAGCATGACTGATGGTGGCTCTAGGGGTGAGAAGAAAGGAGCTGAGCCAGACGGGCCTGTCTGATCAGCCGGTGCCAACCACATCACCTGGGTGGGCACACACCCCTCCAGGATGGTGTCTACATGTCCTCCTAAGACCTGGCCCCAACCCAGACACGTAATCCTACTTTCCCCTTGGCAAAAACGTCTCAGCCCCAGCCTCCTGCAGGCCATATCCTCTTCCCTTCCATAACCAAGCTCCTCAAAAAGATCCTTCTCTCCACCTCCACAGCTAGCTCCTCTCCCCATTCACCTCTCAGCCCACCCCAGTCTGGCTGCCACTTCTCAGCATACTACCCAGGTCTCCCCAAGTTGCTGGTGTCTTTATTAGAACCCAGGATCTTCTATGGCCGTAGCTCATCCAGTCTCTTAGCAGCACCCCACACCACTGGTCACTTCTTCCTCTTCTTCCCTGACCCACATTGTTACAGAATGAATTATATCTCCCAAAATTATGTATGGTAAACCCTAACATCTACACTTATGGTTATAATACCATTTGAGAATGGACTGCGATGTTAATGAAACAGGGTTAGTGTTGGGTGTCCTGAGAGAAGCTCTTTTGAGACAGAAAAGATTAAACAAGCAAGAGAGAAGCAGAGATGGGGGGAGAGTGATGCCACGCCTCAGAAGACTGCCTCAGGGCAGAAGCTCGAAGAGACAAGGACCATCTTCCAAAACAGGTAGAGAAAGCTTTCCCCTAGAGCCAGCACCCTGTATTCAGGCTTGTAACCTCCTGAACAGTGAGAAAACCAGTTTGTTTGTTAAAGCCACTCATTTATGGTATTTCTATCATAGGCAGTGCTAGATAACTAAGTTGGGATGTTGCTCCAACATAAACCTTCAATGTGAATACAGTTTTGGAATTGAGTAATAGAGGCTGGAAGACTTTTTTTTTTTTATTGTGATTTGGGTGAAAATTTACAGAGCAAATTCATTTTCCATACAGCAGTTCACATACACTTTTGTCTCATGACACTGGCCACAATTTACCCCAATGCAACAGCTCCCCTCCCACTTCCTCCTGCTAGTTACCTCTTCCCTGTGTCCACCCCTCCATGCACTCCTGCTGTCTTCTCTGTATAAGTGAGGCTGGAAGACTTTTGTTGTTGTTGTTATGTGCCGTCGAGTCATACCTGACTCATAGCGACCCCTCCTTGGGTTTCCGAGGCAGTATCACTACGGAAGTAGGACTGCCCAATCTTCCTTCCGAGGAGTGGCTGGTGGGTTTGAACCGCCAGCCGTCTGGTTAGCAGGCAAGTGCCTTAGCCACTATGCTACCAGAGCTCCTGGAAGACTTTTAAGGTACCTAAAAGTAAAAGCCTACATTGCCTTGAAGAGACTGTTGGTAGAATTATGGACGTCAAAAGTAATTCTGGTGAGGACGCAGAAGGAAGTGAGGAGCCATATGGACAAAGTTTCTATCATCTTAGAGAGTATGTGTAGCACCACAACACAGTGTTGATGGAAATGTGGATGTTAAATGTGCTTCTGGTGAGGCTTTAAAAGAAAACGATGAACGTGTGACCGGGCAATGGAAGAAGAGCAATGTTTTCACACAGTGGCAAAGAACTTGTCTGAGTTAAGTTCAAATGTTTGGTGGAAGGTAGAACTTGTAAGTGATGACACTAAGATATTTGCTAAGGAGAATTCTAAGCCGTATCTTAAAAGGAGCGACATGGCTTCTCCTTGCTGCTAACAGTAAAATGTGGAAGGAAAGAGATGGATTTAAAAAGAAATTTGGCAACAGGAAAACAAAATCCAAAAAAGATTTGGAAAATTCTGTTGCACAAACTAAGGATATGTGACCCGGCATTTTCAAAGCTGTGGCTACACAATCTTTTGTTAAAGAGATTAAGCCTCTGATTGATGGATCTAAAAATCACCACAGCAGAAAACCCATGCGCTTAGACCAAAGAGGGCAGAGAAAGAATGAAAGCAAAGCAAGCTGTGTCTCTCTTGGAATTCTATAGGCAGGAAACAGGCCAAAGGAGCTACATCTGTTGTCCTCCAAGAAAACGACCATCCCTAGAGGAACTCAGAGATGAATAGAACTGTTGGAAGGAGCATGGGAAGCAGGGCCTTCTTGGTTTCAAAGGTTTCTTCACCAACTGGGTTCTGGTTTGCCAACTGAGTTTATAGTGTGGAGTTCCTGGTGCTTAGAGTGTGGAGTTTCCATTAGGGGTGTGCGGTGTGTGTGCGGTGGGTACGGGCCACCATCCAAAGCTGAGGGGGCAGGGTTGCTATGTGCAAAGGGCAGAAGAATGGAGCCTTCTGGGGGCCCAAAGGAGTGAGGTCTCCACTCAGATGAACTAGAAGGATGGGGCCGCCCAAAGCCAAGGAGCAGAGTGGCCATCTCACCGGCCTGGAAGGTGGAGGGCAGAGCAGCCTCCGCCAAGAACCCAGAGGATGGAGCCAACACTGAGTCAGGGTGGGGCCACTGTCTAGATGGTCCTGAAAAACAGGACCATTTTCAAGCCTTAAGAGCTAATGTTCTTTGTTCTGCTGGGTTCTGGACTGACTTAGCACCAGTTACCCTTCTTTCCCTCCAATTTCTCCCATTTGTAATGGAGTATCTACCTTGTGCTTCCTCTACAATTGCACTTTGGAAACAGGTAACTTGTATTCTAGACTACACAGGTTCACAGAGGAAGAGGAATTTTGCCTCAAGATTATGGATTGAATTATGTCCCCCAAATTATATTATAAACCCTAACTTCTATGCCTGTGGTTATAATCCCATTTGGGAATGGGTTTGTCTTTGTTATGTTAACGACACAAGATTAGTGTAGGTGTGTCTTGAGTCAATCTCTTTTGAGATATACCAAAACCACTAGAATGGAGTCCATTCCCCTACAGGACAAAGTAGAACTGCCCCATGTGGCTTCCAAGGCTGTAATCTTTATGGAAGCAGACCATATCTTTGTCCCACAGTTATCTGGTGGGTCTGAACCGCCAACCTTCTGGTTGACAGCTAAGTGCTTTAAGCACTGCGCCATGAAGGCTCCTTTTATGAGATGTAAGAGATTAAACACCGAGAGCACAGTAGAGATGCAGAGATGTTGGGAGAGAGATGCCAAGTCACAAGTGCTCCCAGAAGCAGAAGCTCGGAGACAAGGACCTTCCTCCAGAGCCGACAGAGAGCGAAGCCTTCCCCTAGAGCCTGAGCCCTGGATTTGGACTGTAAGGCTCCTAAATTATGAGGAAACAGTAAATTTGTTAGTATGACACCCATTATGGTATTTCTGTTACCGGAGCACTGGGTAACTAAGACAACACCAACGCTGGTTCCCCTCTCTCCGCCTCCATCCTCTTCCATCCTGAGAACCGGAGGGTATCTCTGGCCTCAACCACTCCTCATTATCTCCCCAGGTTCTTCTGTGGCATCAAACACCCTCGTACCTCATAGCTCACATTGCCAATCCGGGCCTCAAGCTTCAGGCGTAACACGTGGTCGTCCCTTAAGATACCAACAAAGATCTCTATTGTCCTGATGGGGGTTCATCTTCCTCCACGAACTGGCCCCCACTCTGTGAACTCCCTCCACTCCCTATCTAGTCACCCAAATCAAAGCTCCAAACAGAACCTCAGGAGCTGGCCGCTGCAACCCCAGTGCTGGGGTAGGCCACCTCTCCTTCTTGGAGTGCACCAGCCTCCATGCCACTCTGCTGTCTCTGCCACACTCCACATGGAGCCCTTCTGATACTCCCCCTTCTTCATCAGATATAATCGTACTAGGCCAGCACGTTCACACACCAACCTAAAGCCAGCCTGGGCTCCCTGCAGCTCCCTTAGTCAAGGTCTAGCTATTTCAAGCTACTCACTGACACCTGAAAACACGCCATCCTCTTCCCTCCCACCTCTGCTGCCCGATACATCATTCCATCCAAAAATTTCTACTCATCCTTCAAAGCCTGGATAAATACTCTCTTCTCTAAAGCCTGCCCAGAAGACCCCTCTCTGCAGAATTACTACTCCTCTCCCCCAGCTTCATTTCCAGAAAATACACCACCAGCCTTCCCAGAGCACTTGTCCTGCTGCATTTGGGCGGTGGTTCACAGTGGCAGCTCTATCTTCCTCCCTCCATCTTGCACAGCCCCGACAAAAGGACACTGAATTAATTAATTAATTACTACAAACCTGTAGCTGAGAGCTCTGGTGGTGTAGTGCCTAAGGCACTTGACTACTAATCAGAAGGTTGGCAGTTCAAACCCACCAGCCACTCCTCGGAAGGAAGACTGGGCAATCTACTTCCGTAGTGATACTGCTTTGGAAACCCAAGGAGGGGTCTCTATGAGTTAGAGACCACTCGATGGCAGGTAACAACAACAACAAACTTGTAGCTAAGTCAATTATTTGTTAACAGGGTGAGCAGGTGACCAAACCTTCCATTTCTACCCAGGCACCAAGAGGAACAAAGGAGAGCCCTCTCCCTGCCCAGGGAGCAGAGGGCTTCCTCACAGAACTTTCCAGCAAAAAGCACAGGCCTGCCTGGACAGGCCACTGGCAAGCAGGGATGGTTCCACTCAGGATGTACCAGTCAGCCAAACTAGCCACCTTGGCTTGTCTTGGAGCTCCAAGAAGGGTCTCAATCTCCTTCCTGACAGGTCAGCTCACCAAAGCCTTCAGTTCTGCTCTGATCCTTGCTATCCCATCCAGATCCACCTCCCGGCCCAAGGTCCCAGGCTGCCTGGCCTGACAGCCATCTCCTTGTCCCTACCCAACTATCAGGAGTGGGAGGATTCACCAGAATGGCGTGGTTCCTGCCCAGGCCCACCGGAATGTGGAGCAGGGGCCCCAAGAAAGAAAAGAAGCCCGGCTCAGAAGGGCTCACACAGGGAGACTGGGCAATATAGAAGCCGTTCCCCCTCCCTGTGTCTCATCTCAGTGATAAATAGAACCTCCAGGAGCTCCTACCATCCCCTTCCTTGCCCCAAATAAGCTTGCCTAAGGCCCAAAACGGTGCAGAGCTTTGCCAAGGTCATAGGGCCAGACTGGACCCTAGATTTCCAAGCCCGAGTCCGCACCACCACACTACCCTAAACTCAGGCCATTGTGGGCCTTCAACCGTCTAACTCCCAAAAGCTCCCAAGAACCACAAGGACAGAAAGGGACTCTCTCTTCCCACACTCAACAGCTCCAGGCAGGCAACCTCAAGCTGGTCCACAATGAGGATTTGCCTGGGTCTAATGACAAAGCAGACAGGAGACAAGAAGTGTAGGAAGAGGACTCATTGTTGGTCAACTTTCAAGATGTGGCATGTGGGGGAGGTCTGAGACAGGCTTTTTGGCTGGTGAGCCCCAGGAATGATGAGGAGATATGAAAGGAGCTGTACCCAATCCTGGGAGCAGGGGGTAGGTGGATAGAGTTTTGGCCTATGAAAGACCAAAAGGGAGCCAGTCAGGATTAGGCTCATGGAGCATAAGAAACCTGGGCCTAGACAGGCAGCCTATGCTCTCTTGGGAATCTAGGCCCAGAAGGACATGGGTTTGGGAGCAAAGATGGTCACAGTTCCCACTCTCCCTGCTCCAGCCCAGGGAGCCTGAGCCACCCAAGGTTCCCACCCCAGGGCTACCCAGCCCCTAATCCAATTTCACAGGAAGGTGACTGGTTCCCCAGGGGCCTCCACTCCCCCAGGACAACCAACCCTCCTCCCTCCTCCACAGGACCCTGAAGGCTACTTGAAGACCAAGTGACCTCCCAGCAACCAGAATGTCAGCTAATATTTACTGCTCTACAGCCCACCTGGTTCAGCTGATAGCTGCATTTTCCTGGGCTCAGGGGCCTCGGATCTGCCACAGCGAGGCGGAAGCCAGCTCTCCAGCTCAGGCCCGACACTGCCTGTGTCCCTTGTTCCAGTCTCTGCCACTACCTTTGCCTCCATGCAGCTGGTCGGCCCAGGGCTGGAGCACTGGCTGGCTTCGGGTTTCAGTGGGGCCAGGCCTGCCGGGGCGGCCCCAGGAAGGGCACACTCCTGCCTCGCATCCTGCTCAAGGTCGGCCAGAAGGACGGCTGTGGGCCAGGAGGCCCCACTGGCTCTAGGACCCCAGGAGCTGTGACCAGCACGCAGGCCTACCTCCCTGTGCCCTCCAGGAAAGTGCTCACTGCTGGTGAAGTCGTTGGAAGAGCAGAAGAACCCAGCATTTGGGGTACCTGGGCCCCTCAGGACTGAGGGCCCAGGGGACTGGCTGGCAGGGGCAGGGTGCAGCAAAGGGGTCCTCTCCTCAGCCCCAACACCATCAGGAGTGGGCAGGACTGCTTCAGCTAGCTGCCGGCAGCAACTGGCACAGAGCTGGGCCCAAGCCATGAGGTGGCCACCCCCTGTCCACCAGTCAGACACTGAATGCCTCGCTGCCTCCTGGGTCAAGTGGCCAGCTCACGCTTCTGCCTGCGGTGCCCCCTACAGGTGACCTGGCACCTATCCCCTCTCTGAATCACTGGTTCTGGTTGTGGGGGAGGGGCCTCCAGTCTCCCAGAGGACAACTGTACCCGTGCCCCAGGCCTCCAGCTCCACTGAGTAGCTGGCAGGCTCTTTCTTCCCTTCCCAGCAACCCCTGCACTGTCAGGAGAAAACCAAGTTTCTCCCCCGGGGAAAACAAGAGCTGGCAGCAAGAGGCCGAAGGCCATTCAGCTATGGATAGGAGCATGCCTGGCCTCGCCAGGGCGCCTTCCCAGGGCCTCCCCAGGGCTCTGACTCGTTGCCAGGGCCCAGTCAGGACTGCTTCGGCATCCATACTAACCAGGATGGGGGTGGGGAGCCAGGCTTGCATTTCAGGCACCCTCCATGCAGTCTCAGGGAGCCAGGCAGCCCCAACAGCTGGACACTGACAGCTTCTCCATAGCCCCACAAAGGGTTTTCAGCTTCACACAGGCTCAGGACAGAAAGACTCCCTCCCCAAATACCCCTAACCCTGTGCAGAAGGGGGTGGGGCAGGGCCACCTGGCAATGCCTCCCAACCAGCAGAGGTGACAGTTACTTCCACTGATCACCACAGAGACAATGCTAACTCTATGCCCAGCCCAAGCAAGTCTCAACCATCCTATCTCAATTAATGAAAATGAGGATATCCAAGAGGCTAGTAAATAAGCTGCCCAAGTAAGGACATAGACCAACACACAATTACTGGGTCATGAAAACACCCAGTCTGTCAGATACCCAAACCCATGCCTCTGAGTCACTCCTGCTGAACCCAGTGCACTCCCCCTACCCCCAGCCAAGACCCCACTAGGCAAGCAGCAGTCTCTCACTCCTCCTGAGGCTCTGTAAGGTCCCAGAAGGGCCAAATCTACCTCCAATCAGTGGATGCCCCCAAGCCTCTAGACCCCTGGGTTGGCACACCCTCCTCTCACATCCCACGGAGCACCCTCTGGATCTGGGCTTTAAAAGGGAAAGGGAGAAAAGTGTCAGTCCTCTGCAGAACAAGCAGTGCCCAAACAGCACTATACTTGAGTCTTGTCTGGTCTGGTTAGAGGAGAGGTAAGGCATACCCTTGCCCTGGCCTGGGAGCACACGGACCCCATCAGAGGCACACAAGAGGTAGAAAAGAAACAGGCCACCCTGAGTGGCCTGTATGTACCTTCTCCAGCCTAGCACGGCCTTGCTCATGGGACTATGCCAGGGCCAGCCCTGCCCCAGCCTAGGCCTCAGAAGGTGAGGCTCCAACAGGAAATAGGGCCCCAAAAGTTACACCATCCCATCCCAGGCATTGAGGGCTTCAAGGAAAGCGGGTGTGGGAAGGCAGGCAGCCTACAGACCTAAGGGGGTAGGCACCTGTTTGCCTCCTTCCAGTCCCATCTAGGCCAGAAGTAGGCTCTCAGGGTCTCGGAATAGTGTTCCTCACACTGCTTGGCTCAGACCCTACCGGATAGTAGAGATCTGGGATCCTGTTGGAGAGCTCCCTTAAGCCCCTAAGCTCCTCCCCAGCCAGTCAACCCCCTCCCCCCTCAGGGCCTCAGCTCCAGGGAGCCCTCCTTTAGGCAGAAGGAACTTGACACACCACCGTGAACTTGAAAAACCTGCCTGTTCTCTTAACCCCTAAAAGTTGATTTCTTCCCAAGAAGGTAATCAACACTTGCTCCCCTTGTCCCTGCAAAGGCCTTGATCATGTCCTCCTGGAAGGGACTGAGAAGCTTTCCAGAGTTGGGTCCGGAGCTCAGGGGCCTGGGCTCTGCTGCTCGGGTGAGAGACTGCTGGGAGTCTCTATGAAGGCCCCTCCTTCTTTGCACAGACCCAAGCTGGCAATAATTCAAGTCCCAGCTCTCTCTATACCAGCCTCCCTGAGACATAAAGAGGCAAAGTGGCTACCACTTACTAGTATGCTCCCAGTTTCCCCAAAACAAAGAATTGTGTCCTTTTCTTAACCCAGGTCATCCCAGGCAGAGCCCCCTTAGCACACAGCTGAGAAGCGGCTTCCCTCAGACCTTCTTCCCTCCTAGAGCCCCACATTCTCGGCATACAATGCAAACCAACATGGCTGCCCAGGTTCCTCTGCGACAGGCTGGGGCAACCTTAGGGCACTGGCCATGTGCTGGAAATCCAAATGCTCCCCTCCACAGCTAGGTCACTGTGTGACCTTGGCCAAGTCATTTCATCTTTTCAGGGCTCTCTGCTGGAGGGGAAATTAGCCAGCCCCTACCTCTTTTTATCTATCAAGTCCCACTGACTCATAACCACAGCAGGGTAAAGCTTGGCAGGTCAGAGTCATCAACGTTTGTTGTTCTGCCCACATCTTGGCCTTGTCCAGGCAATCAGCAAAGCTACCACAGTACCTGTCCCCTACCCTAAGGTGATACCGCTATGACCGTTGACAGCAAGCTGACCCAGGGTGGAAGAGCCTCTAACTGCTCCCACTCAGACTCCCGAGTCAGCCCCAATGCAGATCAGTGTAGCTGGGAAAGGGATGATGAGCTAATGGAAGTCCCTACAAAGGAGAGGTGAGGGATAATTAGGAGATAGGGACAGTTCTAACACTACTACTGTCACCCAGTCCAGCCCTAGGACTCTGAGGAAGATTTGGACAGACAACTGAAATGCGAGGATGGGTCTTCTAGCCACAGGGCCTGAATCTGAGATAGGAAAGAAAAAACAGAAGTGGTCTGGGAGAAAATAGAGAAAAGCCCCATCCACTGGAGACCAGCAGCCACTCCCAGAGCCACCACCACACACAGCCCCCGCGGGGACGGGGGCTGCTGGAGAGCTGGGAGCTTCACTCCACACAGGTGACCTTTGCCTTAAAAACAGCAACTACAGGCTGACCCACTTTTCGCAATAAGGCGGGTTAATGATCAAGTTCTGGCACAAACACCTCCCCCTGCCAGGGAGCTTGCCTTGGCCCCCACATACACAGGCAGACCCCCAAGCAAACCGACCAGACACCAAAGAGGGCAGAGATCAGCGCCTGAAAACCTGGGCTTTAAGTCTTGCCTCCAGAAATAAACCGAAAAAGCCCTCCAACAGCCCCACCCCCAACTCGTGCTCTTCCCACAGAACAAGCCCGGGAAGTCCCAAGCTGAGCCTTACTCGCAGGGCTGCAGGCCTGCGCACAAGGAATGACTGGGGGGTCCTGCTGCTGCTGAGTGCCCGGTGGAGGATGGCCTGCAAATGTCAGCGACTACAGCCAAGAGGGCTTCTCTAGCCCGGGCACGGAGGGGGTGGGGCCGCCGATTCCATCCGTCTGCGGCGGCTGTTCAACCCGAAACCGCGTGTGCGCGCACGTGTCCCCACGATCTGGCGCGCGTGTGCCCGCCGCGGCCGCCCTCCCCAGGACTCCACGTGCGAAGCCCGGGCCCATGCCGGGGGCGGCAGTGAAGGTGACCTTCAGAGCGGGGGCGACTTGGTGGAAGGCCCAGCGAGATGCATCCAGTCCCGGCGCAGAGAGAAGCTAGCGGTCCCTGCAGAGCCCTGAGCCCGCCCGCCTGCTCAACCCAATTCAGCCGCCCCCCCCCCCGCCCTGCTGCCTGCTGGTCCTGGCCCCGCTCACCGGCCGCGCCAGGCCGCCCCTTGCCATCGGCCTGGGAACTGGGCTCTCGGGTGTTGTCGGCCGGGGCGGCCGCCGGCAACTCGTCCGTTTTGATGACCATGTTGGCGGGAGCCGGGCCCGGCTCGGCTGTCCGCACCGCCCGCCACGCCACTAACCCAAGTGCCCTGCGCGCCGCGGCCGCTGCGGGAAGGACGGAGTCACCGGCCCACGTGGTGCGCGCTGTCACCTTTGACCCCGCCGCCGCGCCCCTGCTCCGCCCTCGCGCCCGGCCCGGCCCACGGAGGCCCTCGAGGAACAAAACACGCCGCGCCTCGTTGGCTATCTACAGAAGGGATGAGTTTTTTGAACGCCTTAAAGGGAACTTACCTTGACTCTGGGAAGAGAGAGACTTCGGCCCCCTCGAGGGGCGGGGCTTCGGAAAGTCGTCCCTCTAGTTTATTCCTGTTCGGGCGGGCGCCTTGACCTTGGGTGGAGGCTCATTTAGGACTGCCATTGGTAACCCTCCCCTTCCCCCGTGACTCTATGCTTCCTATTGCAAATCTGCCAAATGAGCACGCGGTGTCTAATCTGCGGTTTTAAATTGACCCTCAGCGCCCTTTCCACCAAATGTGCAAACCGAACTGCTCTTTCCCGCCGGAGGAGTTGGGTTGGGGTGTGTCTTGTTTATTGAAGAGGCAGCGAAGTGCAGCCTGGGGCTTGGTCAGTTGAGGGGGGAGGGGATAATGGGACTAAAGTGTCAGAAACGCACCCACCAGGCTTTGTCCTGCGCCACAACGGGCGCCTTTCCTACCAACGTCTTGGGAACTAACTCCTTTCCCCTCTCCCCACCCCTGCTAGATGGGTACGTTATCCCCATTTTATAGTGGAAGAAACTGAGACCAAGGGCACACAGACAGTAAACTGTAGAGCTGGATCAGGCTAAATCCTCAGCCTGTAAAATTTACAAAACAAACAAACAAAATACTCACCGCTAACGTGAGTTAGCTACTCGCTAACGAGTAGATTTTGACTCATAGCCACCCCTCATTGAGTTTCTGAGGCTGTAAATCTTTGGGAGTCAAATCTTTAGCATTCAAATGCCTTAGGCACTGTGCCAGGGCTCCTTGAACATTTTACAGATTATATTTTCAGTTGTTCAGAACTTGGTGGAGATTGAGAAGGGAGCCAGAGAATGCTGCAAGGATGACATTTGAACCAGGGCTTGCCAATGAATTGAAATTCTTTAGGCAGAAAGAGTGGGGAGGATCTTTCCTCCACAGATACTGGAAACCAGTGGGAACATTTCAGGCATTCTCCTGACATTTACCAGGAACTAGTGGGAATTGGGGAGCTCTGGTAGCATAGTGGCTAAAGCACTTGAATGCTAACCAGAAGGCTGGCGGTTCAAACCCACGAGCCACTCCTCGGAAGGAAGGTTGGGCAATCCTACTTCCGTAGTGATACTGCCTCGGAAACCCAAGGAGGGGTCGCTATGAGTCGTAGTGATACTGCCTCGGAAACCCAAGGAGGGGTCGCTATGAGTCGGGCCGACTCGAGGGCAAAAACAACAAACAAACAACAAGTGGGAATTGAAAAAGCTCTGGTGGCACTGTGCCTAAGGCATTTGCCTGCTAAGGTTGGCAGTTCAAATCCACCAGCTGCTCCACGGAAGGAATATAGGGCAATCTACAGAATTGACTCGATGGCAGTGGATTTCATTTGGGTTAGTGGGAATTGCAAGAAGTTCTGGTAGGTAGTGGGCATGGCATTTGGCTGCTAACCAGGTCAGCGGTTCAAACCCACTGGGTACTCCGCATGAGGAAGATGAGGAGGCAGTCTCCTTCTGTGAGGATTTACAGCTGCTTTGAGTTGAAATCAACTAGATGCCAGTGGGTTGTGGTTTTTGGTTTTTTTTTTTTTTTTTTTTAAGTGGAATTGCAGTCCCTGCAGAAAGATACCATGCTTGGAAAAGTAGAGAGTCAATGAAAAAGAGGAAGACCCTCACCAAGATGGATTGACACAGTGACTGCAACAATGGGCTCAAACAGAAGGATTGTGAAGGTGACACGGGGCCAGGCAGTGTTTTGTTCTGTTGTACATGGGTTCGCCATGAGTTGGAATCCAGTCACCTAATAACAACAATTGGAAATGGAAGCTGAAGCCGCAAAGGTGGGATGGAGCTGGCCCTGTTGTTGTATTAGTTGCTGTAGTGCTGTAGGTTGGTTTCTGACTCCTGGGGACCCCATGTGTTACAGAGTAGAACTCCTCCACAAGGTTTTCCTGGCTGTAAGCCTAATGAAGGAGTCCCTGGATGATGTAAGTGGTTAAGTGCTTGACCTTCTAACAAAAGGTTCAAACCCACCCAGTAGCACCTGAGAAGTAAGGTCTGGTGATCTGCTTCAGAAAGGTCACCGCCTTGAAAACCTGCTCTGCACACACAGTCGCGTGAGTTGAAATTGACTCTACTGAAAATAATAGCAGTCTTACCTGGTAACGGATCACCAGGCATTTTCTTCAGCAGTACCATATGCGATACCTAGGGACCTTGGGCTAGGAGCTCTGGTGGCGTAGTGCCTAACACATTTGACTGCTGGCAGTTCAAACACACCAGCCACTCCTCAGAAGGAAGATTGGGCGATCTGCTTCCTTGGTGATACGGCCTCAGAAACCCAAGGAGGAGTCGTAATGAGTCGGACTTGACAGTGTGACTAGAGACCTTGGATCAGGCTCTAAATACAACCCAAAAACAAACCTGTTGGTGTTGAGTCAATTCTGACTCATAGCGATCCTATAGGACAAAGTAGAACTGCCCTATAGGATTTCCAAGGCAGTACTCTTTAAGGAAGAGCTCTGGTAGCATAGTGCTAACCAGGAGGCTGGCAGTTCAAACCCACCAGCCACTCCTCAGAAGGAAGATGGGGCAATCTACTTCCGTAGTGATACTGCCTCGGAAACCCAGGGGGGGCGTCGCTATGAGTCAGGTCCGACTCGACGGCACATAACAACAACAACAACAACTCTTTAAGGATTCAGATTTAAGGTGCTCCGGTGATGTAGTGGGAAGGCATTTGGCTGCTAACCAAAAGGTTGGTGGTTCAAACCCACTAACCCCTCTGAGTAGGAAATATGAGGCAGACTGCTTCTATAAAGATTTACAGCATTAGAAACCCAAAGGGAGTTGCTAGGAGTTGGAATCGACTTGATGGCAGTGAGTTTGGTTTGGTAATCTTTAAGGAAGCAGGTTGCCACATACTTGTCCAAAGGAAAGACTGGTGGGTTCAAATCTCTGACTCTTTGGTTAGCAACCCAGTGCTTAATTACAGCTTCTTGGCTTGGGCCCTAAGCCACATAAAAATAGAGGGAAAGAAAAAGTGAACTTTGTCCTAGAGTGCAGGTAATGGGAAAGGGGAGCCAATGAAAAGTGTTAAATATTTAAGCAGGAGGAAGGGAGGTGAGAGTGATAAAATTCATATTTCAGAATAATCCCTCCAGCGCAGTGTAGGGAATAAAGGGAACTAGGCTAGACTAGAGGGAGATGAGTTAGGTCTGTTGCACAAAAAGGCTGGAAATAAGAACTGGCTACTAGGTGGGCATGGAAGGAAGGCACATCAGGGTAGTGCATGAACCTAACACTGGATGGGATTAGAAATCTCCATCTGTAAACTTCTACCCTGTCCGTGACCTTGAGCAATAAGTCACTTGACTTTCACTCCCTTGAATCTCACGCGCTTCCTCTGTAAATACAAACATCTGTTTATCTAGCCTCACCTAATTGTTGAGAGGAGACAGTGGTCATCAAAGTGCTTTAGAAAGTGTAAAAGAGTAATTCATCCCATCTTTCAAACACAAACTGCAAGAGCCTAGCAATGCAGGAATATCAGAGGTGAACCAGACCCAGCCCCTCCTAGGAGAAGTTTCAATCTGATGGATGAAGTGAGATGTTCCAACAGCTTCCTGTCCAAGGGTGCCAGGTAAGGGCCTTAAACGGGCAATTCTGAGTGTGCAGGAGAGGCAGTTATAGAGGTCTTCTGGGAAGAGGCTGCTCTGAATTGCACATTGAAGGGTGAGAAAGATTTTAATGAGCAAGTCAGAAGAATAATATGGGCAGATACAGAAAGATTTATTTATTTAAGCATTTTAATTTTATTTAGAATTTTGAATAGGTAATACATTCACACAGTTCAAACTCCAAAAAGTACAAAACGGTATATACAGTGTAAAGTCTCAGTTGGTCCTTGCCTCTGAGTATCCAATTTCCCTGCCTGAAACACCAAGGTTACCAACCTTCTAGAGATTGTTTGCATATGAAAGTATATATATAGTGTGTGTGTGTGTGTGTGTGTGTATATATATATATACATACATACATACATATAAGGAGCTCTGGTAGCATAGTGGCTAAAGCACTTGACTGCTAACCAGAAGGCTGGCGGTTCAAACCCACCAGCCACTCCTCAGAAGGAAGGTTGGGCAATCCTACTTCCGTAGTGATACTGCCTCGGAAACCCAAGGAGGGGTCGCTATGAGTCGGGGCCGACTCAAGGGCACATAACAACATAACAACAACAACAACATACATATATGTATGATGTGTGGATATTTTTATATATCCTTGTATATGTGCGTATGTGTGTGTTTGTGCAGTATCCCTACAGAAGTAGATTGCCTACTCTTCCTTCTGAGGAATGGCTGGTAGGTTTGAACCACCAGCCTTCTGGTTAGCAGTCACATGCCTTAGGTACTACACCACCAGAGTATGTATGAATGTGTGTGTGTGTGTGTGTGTGTGTATATATATGTATTTATATATTTATATATATAAAACCAATTCCATAAGCCAGTTCTGACTCATAGCAATGCTGTATATGCACACATATGAAGCACCCTCATGGCACAGTGGTTAAAACAGTCAGCTGCTGACTGAAAGGTTGGCAGTTCTAACCCACCAGCTACTCTACAGGATGAAAATGTGCTGCTTCCATAAAGATTTACAGCCTTGGAAACTCTATAGCATTGCTATGAGTTAGAATTGGCTTTATGGAATTGGTATATATCTATATCTATGTCTGTATCTATATCTATGGAGC